TATATTAATTACCCCTTTTAAATATTTTCAACTGCATATGAGAGTTTCATTGAAAGCTGACAGGGTAAAATACAGGTTAACTGGATATTTGGGATAATTTACATGAAATAACTTCCCAATAGAGAACTATAATATTAAAGTTAGTTTCAAAAGCAAATTTTTTTTAAAAAGCAGCCAAAATTAGATGTCTAAAGTCAACATCAAGAATAACACCTCTCCCTAGGCCATGGGTTGCCTTAGAACCACCTAAGTGATCGTTCCACTGAGCATGGAGACTCTGGGTTCCATACTGTGTTCTCACTAGGGTTGTCAGAGAGGTCTCATTTAGATCTAAGACAGATCATGTCAAATCCTTGTAAAGAAGTCTCCAATGGCTACCATGTCATATGTGAGGTGCTTAGGTTTCCAGTTTTCTAACTGGACCAATTATGAAGTTATCCCTCAGAAAAAAGCAGGCTCTGTTCAGATATGTTCTGGCTCATTATGACTTTCTCTCCATCGCATCTGTGCTCACCTTGAGTTCTTTCTCCCTTATCCTGACTCTGTTTTTCCCATAGTACTATATTTGGCATTGAACATATTTGTATACTCTGTAAACAGAGAAAATTTTGTCATTGTTTACCTATGTATTGGGGTAGATGTAACAATATAGGACATGTTGTAATCCATTAAAAAGAGAATAATATATTATTTCTCATTGATAGTGTTAGGTAAACAATGGTAGAATCTCACAGCACTGTGACTAGCTGGCACAAAGTAAAACAAGACACTAAAGCAGCTTTTCACCTTTCATTTACTAGTTATGAGAACTATTTTGACTCTAACTGCTGAAAATGTAATATTATTGACTTCTCTAGCAAATTCCATATTATTAACTAACTGGAAGTAACCTCAAATGAGCAGGATGATGAAAAAAAAATTTTGAGGGGACTTACTAAGTAGTGGGTCTATGAAAGTCTTTGACTTTAGCCATAATAATGTTTCCTCCATTTGCAGAGAAGATAATTAGCTGATGACCCCAAATTACAGCTAAACTACCAACTCCATATGTCACTAGTTCATAGCATCCTCATGGTCTCAATGTTCTCATGGCATTTCTAGTCTGAACAATAATAAAATAAAAAACTCTAATAGTTCTGCTTATTAAGCCACTTAGCCCAACAACTAACCCATTTGTGTGACCTAACTAATATTACAATACATATTTAATTATTTGAATCAATATGGACAAAACTGATTCTGAAAAGGGCATTTTATCATATGGATAACTACATGCTCAGCTTCACAAACTCACCATGACATCAACACACATGTGCCAACTTAATGTTTAAACAGTGATGTACTCCAGCTTTTATTTCTTATAAAATCTTAACACCCATATTAGCTTCAAAAATTTAAAATAGCTATCCATGCCCCAAAGCACTTTGGTACACAGTACAGGAGAGCTGTATTGAACTACAGACCTTGATCAAACCACTGTCCCAAGCCCTGCTATTTCTTTGCTCTGCCTTTCAAATCACCAAACATACATGATCAAAGGAAGGATGCCAAATATAAATATTTGTGTAGAGATATTATAGAAGAAAACTACTCTTTAATGTAATGTTGATGTCTCAACACCAAGATACTATCAAACCATTATACTTAATTCCCAATAGTAAATCTTTACACTTTTACTCATCTTAATTTCCAAGAGTAAATAAAAAGTATTTTAAGTTGTGCTTGATCCCCTTTTTCTGGAGATTCCTCATTTGTGAATACATCTCATCAACACATCTTATTTGTAATGCTGTCTCCAAAATCAGTATTCCATAATTATTCCCAGACACTAAAATACATATTCCCCACTAAATTCAAACACGATGGGGCTCTGTCTCTTTTTTGAACACTCATACTTTGAACAATTGTCCTTTTCATGGTGTCTCTTTAATGCCACATTTTAGATGGTTTGGGCTAATGATTTCTCTGTTTAAAATGGCAACCCAAAGCAGTGCTGAAAGCTTGTCAAATGTTGGCAAAGGTTGTGATGTATTGAATGTTCCTAAATCATGTAGTCAGAGAAAACACCCACATCAGAGAATCTGCATTCCAGTATGAGTCTGTGCTGGTGTCTAAGAGATTGAGTCTAATATCTCAGGGATATATGTGAAGCAAGGTGTCTTTACACAAAGATGAAAATGGAAAGGATATATATATATAAAAATGGAACCAGAAAATCACAAGAATCTAACCCTAACTCTGTATTTCATCCCTAAGTACTGACTCAGTCCTGATGAACTCATTATTCAGACAGAATGCTTAAGCATAACTGCTGTGGATGGGGAGATGGATGTGTGATGGTCTCACTGGTTTTCATATTTATTTCTCAAATGCCTTGTGAAGATAATGAGAAAATTTCTATATATTTGTCCATCACAGAGGATAGATTCATTAAGAAGCAAATGAACAATAGGCTCATAAAATAAGGGGAAAGACCTGTTCCACAGTAGGTGAGTAGTCTTGGAGGTAGGAACCTAGGAAACACAGACTTTGTCTACATCTGAGGGTTGCCTGGGACTAGCCTGGAGCTGACAGACACCAACATCGCCATTGAATATGTATTGATTGTTGAGCAGTGAAGTGATGGAGAATTTGACTCCCCATGGTCCTTTCTAGTCATCACTCTTTAAACGACTCTAAAGAGATTTATTTCTTTTGTAAAGTATAATTAGCAGTTTGTGAGGAGGTTACAGAGTCATGTCAGCTGTCAGGAAAAGTGACTCCCACCCCATACCTTCATTCTTTCCTAACCTTATACAATAGAATTTCCTAAGTCTTGTAGACTTAATAATACATTAAAAATTAAGTCATGAATTTTCTTAAACACAAAGGAAGCCATTTGTGTTCTGAATAGATAAGATCTTTTAAAATAGCAATTTATGTACACTGTACATGTCTCTCTTTCTAAATTTTAATCATTTTTTTCAAAATGTTGAGATGGCAGTAATGACACTCCCTGTGATGATGATATGGCATTTTATCTAAAATTGTGGATTTTTTATGACTCATGAGTGAAAAAAAAATGATGCCTATAAACTCCTCAGCCTTTTAGATAAATGGTTGTCAGAAAAACATGAAGGCTAACAAAGCAGAAAAATGGCCAAAGGACTGTGTCTTGAGGATTACAGTAGTGTTTAGTGCAGAACACTTTCCAAACATAACTCTCATGGTCAGTTACCTTATTTCACAAGTTAGCACAGAATGGGAAAATGTCTTTAAAAGCTCACTATCCTTTCCCACCCTACTCTAATTCTCTTACCTAATTTTTCTCCATAATCTTTCAATCTTCTGAGTTTGGGCAGTGACACTCTCATCTCTCTGTCTTTCCCTCCCTCCCTCCCTCCCTCCCTCTCCCTCCCTCTCTCTCTCTTACTCCCTTCCTCTGTCCATCTTTCTCTCCTTAATTTTTGCCAAACAATAAAACCCAAAGAAGGGCAGAAAGAGAGCCATCTTTTCCAAAAATGTATATTCTAAAGAAGGTAATAGTCATAAAAGGAAATAGTGTGTCAAATACTATATTCAAGCAGAATCTGTTATATGTGTTGAAATATGGGAAAAGAATGTTTAGCCTAATCTTGAAAGATGGTCAGTGTCACAGTTATAAAATGGGTAAATTAAAAGCAGAAGAAATTCAAGTCCTCTAAGTCTAAATTTGAGTGCTATATCTTAAGTATAATTATTATGACTTGATGGAATTTTATTGAATGTTACAGTCTTTTAAAATTGATTTTATCAGTCAGTTCCAGAAACAGCTCTAGAGTTTGTAATTAATAGCTCTGCAAAGTTATTTGGTGCTTTAAATGAGACTGGTGTAGTATGCTAAAATAGTAACATCATGGATGCATCTTGCTAAGGAAAATGTTATAATTATTCATTTACTATTTCTAAAAACTGTTGTTTTTATTTATGAGTATAGACATGTGCCTGTCCAACTACATGTATACCACTTGTTTGCAGTTCCTTAAGAGACCAGAAAAGGGAATCTCATCACGTGAGTAAAACTGGAACTAACAGTCATTTGTGAACCACCCATTAGGGGTGCTGGGAACTGAATCTATGTGCTCTGTGAGCCCAGTAATTGCTCTTATCTACTGAGGCATCTGCCTAGCCCCTCATTTGCTATGTTTTACTCTTTAGAATATGTAATCAGCTTTTTAAAATAATATAAAAATTGGATCTCAAGATTATATTCATTATTTTTCTCTTGGCAGAAGATCGTTTCTCAAATTACTTTTAATTGATACATATTTACTCTCAATTATGCTTCTATGTGTATAGTATATTTTAAGAAAAATCTCCATTACTAATGAAATTACTTGAACAATACTGTATCAAGTGGTTGGTAAGATAAGAAGTCACAAACTAATGTAAAACCTACAATGAAATGTAATATAGCAGCTAAATTGTAAAGGTTAAAGCCAAATATAATGTGTACCTTCTAGGTTTGGAGTATGGTTTATTATTTAGACAATATTTGTGAAAACTCATACATACTTGACAGAAAAATGTGGGGAAAGAAAGTTAATGATGTAGGTAATGGGAGGAGCTTTCATGCCAGACTATCTGGCTTGTATTATCTATGCATAATAAACTCTAATTATGTTGCAGTTATATTCACACTACTAAGGTGAAAATGCTTCACTCCTTAACAACTCAGGATTCTTGGGTGATATTGGCATAAAGATGCTGTCTACAAGGGGCACAAATGGAAAGTAGCAGTGATTCTTCCAAATTATATGAAACTTACAGAAGTAATGCATTCCAGAATGAGCCAGAACACAAAAATATATCAGGACATTCAGTACTGAGCTGAGCTTGTTTGGACTCAGTCATCCATTTATATGTAAAAATCCCACATGATCTGAATATGGTAGAAATCAAACATCTTGACAGATTACATTGAGCAATTAAATTGAAGAACACATTGAACTTCTTCAGGACTCTCTAGAAGCCTCACATACCCTGATCATCAGCACAGCCTTTCTGATGTCCCGAACACCATCATACACCAGGCGTGAGGCATCGATGAACTCATTCTCCTCAAATGGTTGAGGGACATTAGCACTCAGGGCTTCGATGGCAACCTCAACTTGTTCAGCAAAGCGTGGCATCACTAAGTAAACAAAGGAAACAACAACAGATCAGAGAGCTTTTCTTGAAGTCTATAATTCCAGCTTTTGGACAAAGTTAATGGTAGGCCTTTTGGTCCAGGTTTGAATAGGTTGATTTAGACAGATTGTGTCACTTACTTCAATACAAGGAAGCAAACTGTTACTTCATGAAAGGTGATGGTTTTCCAAAAAAAAGAAAGAAAAGAAAAAGAAAATGAAACATATGACAGTCATCCAAGGTGGCGCAGGATAACAGATGTGTATAAATTTCACATTTATGGTAAACTGAGTTGAATTTCACTTTTGCTAGCTCCCACTCATAAAAATTTGTCCAGATTTTCTTAATTCTTTAAAGCATGCTTCTTTGCCTATATGATGGTTGCATTCACACGCAACTATCCATCTAAACTGCCCTTAGAAAATATTAGCAAACATCTAATTAAAACCAAAAAAATTATAAACATATCCATTGTATAGCAGACATTTGGATGGAATTGTAGGAATTAAGAAATAAAGAGGTTGAGGAAGGAACATATAAGAGAACACAGGAAAATGGGACTAACTCAGCAGAAAGACGTGTAGAAGAGAAGAACAATAGGCTTAAGGTAATTTGCTCTATTTTATCAATATCACCTTGATTTACATGTATAAGTTCCTAAAAGGCTGATGCCTCCTTCTCATGGGGACTAATTTGTGTGTGTGCATACACACACACACACACACACACACACACACACACCTGAGGACAGCAGAAAGCAAGCTATTTGGAATATTTCTACAGATTTTAGAAAAGAAATGACACTTGAAAAATCACATAATTCAATTTTCTAAGCTGTTACCTCATAGCAAACCCTTCCTATGGCAGATGGAAGCCAAAAGTACAACTCACTTTATTTACAAGAACAATAAAATTGAAACATCATTTGGCTACATCAATTTCGAGTTTTCACGCCTGGCTCATCTTTATGCTCATTTTCACCCTTTTGGATACATTCACATTCATTTTAATCCCTGGTGTGAGAAACTCCTTCTCAATTACTCTCTAGGGTCAGAGTACCCAAGGTACTCTGGAGAAACGCATTTGTACTAGAAAAAGTCAAGTGATTTTTTTGGAAGGAGAGGAGCAATGGGGGGCATAAACGTTCTTGCAACAAGAATTATCAAAACCAAAGTGTGAATTGGGCAATTTTCCTTTTCCATGTGAAAAATGAGGATTAGTGCCTTATACCACCTGAGCTTTCCATATAGTCATTGAGATGCATCTACATGGAACCAATTCTGGGGTCATTTAGTTCTATTGCTATAACTATGAATTGAAATAGAAGTGATTGGCATTCTAATTATACTCATTTGGTCAATAAAAATGCATGTATGTATCAGAACATCACATCATGCCCCCATAAATATGTGTAATTAGCCCAAGTCAACTCAACATAAAATTCTAAAAACTTTTATTTCTAAAACCCAGATATTAAACCTGGTGTTCTTTCAGTTATCCCTCTGTGTTGAGAATGAACTTTTTTATGGAACTGAAAAAATGCATATAATTGGAATTGACCTCCGAGTATGAGAACAGTTTTGTATGTATTTGACATTTAGAAATGAGTGTTTTACTTAAATAAAATCATAACTTTCTTTTTTTGGCAGAAAGTTCGAGTTATACTGATTTCACTTTATTTGATATTTAAACATGCATGTTTGTAGCTATAGATGACTTTACAGATTTATATTCAGCTGTCAGTAGTACTTAGACATATAAAATTCCCCTCATTGTCAGGATGATGTTTGCTTTGTGGGAAAAGGCACCTCCTGTCAGGCTTGACAAAACTTGTTTGAGTCCTAGGACCTACATGGTGGAAAGAGAGAAGGAACTCTGCAAGCTGGCTTCTAACCTCCACATACATGTTGTAGCATGTGCATGCACATGCATGTGCACAATAAAGAATAAATACATATAATTTTTGAAGTTCATTACTCTATTATATATCTGATAAAGAATCAGAACTGATTCATGTAAGTATAATACATACTACAAATTGCCAGAAAAAAAAACAAAAAATGATGAGCAAATTGACAGAAAATAATTGTATATTAGTGATAAATACACAATCATATACTTGACATCCTTAACTGAAAAATCGCAATAACGTATAACTCCATACTTTATATCCACAAGCAATTGGAAGCATCATAGTCCTATGAGAATGTGGACAGAAGAAAATACAGCTACTGTAGTTGGGACTGAAAATAACAATGCATCTTCTTGGCCATCACTACTATGAAATATGGTAAAACACTCTTTTCACTCCCAAGCAGGTGACTGGGTCATAATCTAGGGCATGGTCAAATATCAACTTCTATAAAGATGCTAACTATGCAAGCTGAACTATCTGACCTTGGAGTCACAAGAAATCTCTTTGAATCTCTGTGTTTGTGGCTGTATCTGTCTGTAACTGGTGTTCTAAGAGTTGAGAAGCAGAATTATGCAATAACTGAAAATGAAAACAATTGCTCTCACAGGGTCTTTTTAATAGGTCACAACTCAGACTTATTCTGATATATCCAACCAGACTTATTTTGATGGGAAGAGGAAGTGCATAATTTAAACATGCATGCATTTCTGTGTGTTACACATGCTCTGAAAAACTATATGCTGTCTTAAATAGAGTGTTTCCCTCAAAGGGAGAGAAAATAACATCTGGTATAATAGTTTCTGTTCTTGAATTTTTGGATCCTTTTATAGTTCAAATATTTTTAAAGGAGTTAAAAGTTATTCTGTAAGTCATATATTTCTTTGTGGAAATAGGCTCTGGAAAAAATAAAATTCTATTTTATGGCCCTCAACATAATACAAAACAGTCTGATCAATGGTATTAAATTGAGGAAATCACTGTGGAATTGTGAAGGAACTATTGTTCAGCTTTCTATGTTAAATGTTGTAGCTAACATTTAAGTTGCTTAAGTTAGGTAGTGCCTACCATGTAGACCCCAACCTCCAAGAACACATCTCTCGCTTCACAAATATCATTTCTAAGTCTAATGGGGACAAAGAAATGTGTCCCTTTTGTTTGCAAAGTTATCCTTAAGAATTAATAGTTCAGTGTATATCTGTGGGTATCTGCCTCTGCTTCCATCAGCCACTGGATGAGGGCTCTAGGATGGCATATAAAGTAGCCATCCGTCTCATTACAGGGGAAGGGTATTTAGGTTATCCTCTCTACCATTGCCTAGATTGTCAGTTCGTGTCATCCTTGTAGATCTCTGGAAATCTCCCTAGTGCCAGATCTCTCCTCGGACCTATAATGGCTCCCTCTGATATGGTATCACACATCCTGCTTTCCTCTATTCTTCTCCCAACTCAACATTTCTGCTCCTCCATTTCCTCCTCTCCCCTCCTCTTCTCCTCCTCTCATTCTGGCAGCTCCCTCTCCCCTACCTTCATGCTCCCAATTAGCTCAGGAGTTCCTGCCCCTTCCCATTTTCTGGGGTCCATGCATTTTTCCCTTAGAGTTTTTCTTGTTTCCTAGTTTCTTTGGTGCAGAGGATTGTAGCCTGGAAATACTTTGCTCTATGTCTAAAATTCATATATGAGTGAGTACATACCATGTTTGTCTTTTTGTGACTGGGTTACCTCACTCAGGATGGTTTCTTCTAGTTCCATCCATTTGCCTGTGAATTTCAAGGGTCCATTGTTTTTTTTTTTCCTGCTGAGTAGTACTCCATTGTATAAATGTACCACATTTTTGCAGAGAGGGAGGAATGAAGATTAAAGGGGTTGGTACCAGGGTAGTGAAACCCACAGGAACAGCTCTCCTGAACAATGGGGAGCACATGGACCCCAGACTACTGTCTGGGAGGCCAGCACAGGACTGATCCAGACCCCTGAATATGGATGTCAATTAGGTGGCCTAATTCTAGGGGGCTCCTGGTAGTGGATTAGTGTTTTTTCCCTGGTGTAAAAGGGGACTTTAAGAGTCTATTCCATGTGAAGGGATGCACTCTTAGCCTGTACACATGGGGGAGGGCCTAGACCCCGTCCAGGATCATGTGTTGGACTTTGGGGATCCAGCATCAAGGGCCCTACCCTGCCTGGGGAGTGGAGGGTGGATGGAGTGGAGGGCAGGTGGGGAGTTGGAGAAGGCTTGGGGGGATGGAAGAGAGAGGGTGAAGGATTGACATGTGAAGCAAGCTTGTTCCTAATTTGGACTAATAAAAAAATAATTTAAAAAGAAATAATAGAAGCAAGAAAATGAAGTGATGACAAGACTTGCTCTAGCTACCTTCAGACCCAAGGGACAGAAAAAAAAAAGATAAAATTTAAAGCAGCTACTTTGTGAAAATTATTTCTCTTATAGTTTGAGATTATATCATTTCTCACTTTCCATTCTTCTCTCAAACCCTTCTGTATATCCATGCTTGCTCTCTTATAAATTCAGGGCCTCTTTTCCATTAATTGTACACACACACACACACACACACACACACACACACACACACACACACCAACTCCAAATTACATAATAAAAACCAAGAAATATGAGGTGCTATATTCCCAAAATCTCACTAAACCTGTAAAGCAGCTTATGATGCCTAAACATGAACTGAGAAAGAACAACAACATATATGCAAAAGTGGACAGGGGGGTAAAAACCTCGAGTCAGCATCCCTACACAAAGAACTACAGGCAACTAAGAAATGCTGAGAGTTGGAGAAATAGTTTTTCCCAGAGAAGAGCTCACAAATTGGTCATCTAACACTGAGTGTTGTGCCCTGGAAACATACATATGCAGTAGCATTATAAAGACACTACTTTTAATAAAGGGATACTCTTTAAACGGCTGTTCTAGCATGGAATAAGAAATCTCTCTTGTGAGACTTAACTGGTAGGACCTTGTTACTTGCCCTGGCATCATCAGAGAAGGCAGAAATAGGTCCTTTTAGGAAAGTCAGTTTTCCACAATGTCAATGGTTGGGGTAAGAACAAGAACTGCTTCGTTTGTGC